ACAATTTTAATTATTATTTAAGTTATAAGTTTTACTTGTTAAGGGCAGATTTATGAAGACCAAATGAAAAAATACTTTAAATTCACTTTTAACATCGAAAATTGAACGTAATAACTCTTACGTATATATGTCTATTATTAATATATAAAATATTATTATTTCCTTTAGCAGATCCTGTAATTATTTCAAGAATAAAATGAATGATTAGTAATAATTTTTTACATAAAAAATCAAATAATAAAATATTTGAACATTTTAAACCCAAACATAGCTTCCAAAACGGATATTTCTAAAAAAAGTTCAAACCAAAGGCTATATATCGTTTACTAAGCGAAACCTAAGCTTTTTCTTTAATACCTATTATATTATAAACAAAATTAATAGAACCTCAATCTTACTATATTTTATATAAAATATAATATAATATAAAAAACGTCTGCTTCTACTTCTGAGTTGAAACCCAATTAACATCTTTATACTTCATAAGAAGAAAAGTACAGTACGCAACTGGTTTATATACTTATTTAGAAATATTAATCTAACATCTCCATTCAACTCTTATAGGACCACAAACAGTTGGAAAATGTGAGCCTCTGTTTCTCGTGGTTAAGTATGATAATATATAAAAGATTTGATTTTTTACATATATTATTAAAACACAATAAATAACAATTTTATCATCAATTATATCCAATGTTGTAATAGATATTTTTCTCTTGTACATAAAAAAAGTATCTAATTAAAGAAAACGTAGATAGATACTAATTCAAGTACTGTTTCAAACAAATATGTAGGTAAAGATACTAAAATTTAAATGAAGAAAAAAAGAAAGATGCATCGTACACGAAACACAATTTTAAATTGAAATAAAATACGTTTTTTAGATGTCCATAATGCCGATAATACAATAATAATAAATAACTTGTAATAATAATAACTTGTAAATAAAATATCTATTAAATTATAAGCTTTTTCTGGACTATTTATATATGATATATATAAAAAAATATATATAAAAATATATATATATTCATATATATTCATCAATGGATCTCCTGAGGAATAAAAGCTACTGAGAAATTATATATTTTGACCTCTCAACACTGGTATCTTCTCAAATAGCTTGTCGTTTTTTTAATGAATTAAATGTTTGAATACAAAGTACAGTTATAGAGTTTTTGTATCTATATATAAATAGACAATACATGAAATGACATATGTTTAAATAACACACAAGTTTATGAATTGTAAGGTGAGTTATATTACCGATTAAACCAACAAAGCCGGTAGCTGCTATATCACTAAGATGATGCCGGGAACATAATTATACCAGAATATAGTAAATTCGGTGTAAGTTTATTTATTAAATTAAAAAATATATTTAAATTTTTTTAGAATTAATATTTGCAAATATCTCTACTCCTCAGCACTATGAAATAACGCACCTGCATTACATATCTTCAAACTAGAGTATCAATAGCAGCAGGACTTACTCGTCTATATATATATATATAGGTATAGAATCTTATAAATATATATAAGGTTGTAAATTTTAAACCCATCCTGTTTAATTGATAAAAGTAATTATCTTAGGAAGATCCATATATCGAATATTTGCCAGGATTAGTGGACAGTTTCAACATTACCAGGCTAAAGCGTTTTGCAAAAATATTTTAGAGAAGCAGTGATGTGCTACCCTTAAAAATAATAATGTAGACAGTAATATCTGAAATAATTACAAAAAAAATTTTAACAGTACTAACATATAAACAAATGCTGTCGTTGAAACTGCGGTAATATATCTTTTAGTTAACTCTATTAGGCAAAATAATAAACCGCATTATTGAGAGTTATAACTACCATACAATAGTAAAAAAATTTTTATAGAAATATTTAATTCAGACTGTATAGATCACATCTATCATAGTAGATATTTGTACTATGTTAGTAACTAACCCCAAGCGAACAGAAGACACTCAGTCTTTGAATGAAGTCTAAAATGTCTCTGATTGAGTATTTTATATCAGATGTGAAAAGGAATTCCAAGACAACTGTCCTTCACCTAACTCATATTTTAGCCAGACAGTTATACAAAACATCCTAGACATCCTATATGCCAACAATCTGTCGGCCCATTATGTTGAGATGACAGCCACCGTATATATAGCATAAGTACACCAAAGTTACCAATAATAAAGATTTATCATATATAAATATTATAGCATAATATTTAAATGTTACTCAGTTGTGGAACATTTTTCACTGGTTTTGAATTTTGGTGACGAAATTGGAGTTTATATAAGTGAGATCTACAATCGAAAAATAATTGATAAATTTTTCGTTAACGTTAAAGGAAATAATTAATTTCTGAGTGCAAGGAACTATTTTGGAAACGAAATAAATGTTTATGACAACTGTTATTCGATCGCTGTGAATCAACTTCAATTTCACATAAACGAGATTTGCAAACGATAAATAATTGACCACTTTTCGTTTCCTTTAAACGAAATAATTTTTTGAGTGCATTTAAAAACCAAGTGGGATATCACAAATGCAATTTAATTAATTCAAAAAATTTTATTTATAAGCGTCTGCATATTATTATTTATTTTTATCTATTTGTAAATTATAGTTATACGTTGTCATTTTGTCTTAAATAAAATTTAAAATTAAACTAGTTTTAAAGTTAATTTAAATTTAAAATAAAATATTGTTTTGATCAATAGTTAAATAATACACTTTAAATTTTTTTTTGTTTTTTATTAAACGATTTTATTTGAACCCATATTTCGACTATTTCTTATAGTCAACATCAGGGTACTACATACTGTTAATATAGTGTAACAATGTATTAGTATATATCACAAAGAAACAATTATACAAATTAACATTAAAACAGGTATAACATATATAGAGAAATTAATTATATAATCCTTTGATATATAATTATGATATATTTATCCTTTTCTGGATTTGTTGAAGGTGAGAGAGAGAGAGAGAGAGAGAGAGCATAGTGTTGCATGTCAGTTTTATAGGTAAATGCTTCTGGGGTCACTAAAAGTTTGTCGAATTTAGGCCATTTCCACGAAATGCTGATGATTATAGAATATAGTCGAAATATCGGTTGATATAAAATCTTTTAAAAAACAAAAAATTGTTTGAAAAGTATCTTATTTAATTATTAACCAATTAGCCGGGTAAAAAACAAACTTATTATTGAAAATTTTTGCCAATTTAACCAATTAGCCGGGTAAAAAACAAACTTATTATTGAAAATTTTTGGTCATTAAAATTATAAATAAATAATAAACAATTGTGAATTTGTTACTAAAACTTTTATAGCCTGTTAATTGGCGAAGTCCAGAAAAATGTGTGAACATAAAAGTTAAGTCCGATCAGGCTTCGGGTCAGTTGGTTAAGGTGCGTTGACTCTGAGCTTCAAATTTGGCAGGACATGAGTTCGATTCCTGGTACTTGCAGTTTCAAAAAAATTATTTACGTTCGATTCCTGGTACTTGCAGTCTCAAAAAAATTATTTACGAATAATTAAATACAAGAATTATATTCAAGACCACTGATGATGAATATTTGGCAATACCAGAAACAGCTGTGTGATCAGCCAAAAATTCAACTAATTAAAATAATATAAAATCAATTGTTGGAGTAATTCATTACTGTACGAAAAACCTCTTTATAAATTATTTAAAATAAAATTAAATTAAATTTTATTCAAATTGTTAATATTCCATATTAATATGTTATCCATGAAATTAATTCGTTACCTTATAAATTAACTGCAACCCATCGAACTATCGGAGTTCGTTGCTCAAGTCTTTTGTTATTTTCATGTGTAAATAATTAAAAGAAAAGCAATTATTACTATTAAGAAATATATATACTATATAGACGTGTGCTGTAATTAATGCAGTACAGCACAAATTGCAACATCACTAAATCACCAGATGAACTCTTAACACACACTGCACATATGCAATTTCAAGGAAACAATGTCACAAAATTACACATAAAAATCAAATAAAATATGTTTTAATTTTTTTTGTTTTTTTTTTTGTTGAACGAGAGTAAAAGCTGAATAGGAGCAAATTTTAGCAAATCAGTGAAGTAAAGTAAAGTATCTAGATATTTGGTAATAAGCAGTTTGAAAGAGTCGTGTTCAACTGAAGTTGCAACTTAAGAGAGCCAACAACAATGCTAGCACAGATAACAAAATTATTTTGGAGAAGTTTTATTTAAAAGACGTTACCAAAGCCCAACAAGTGGCATAACAATCCGAGACTGCAGTGCGACAACATCACAAACAAAACGAACATACGCACTGCTCAAATCAAAAGATACGAAATTAAAAGTGCGATTAAAAAAAAATTTGATCAATTTGTGATTTCCAGTGAATTTATGAAAATTATATGCTTAAACCAGTGTTGCCATTGCAGTGCGTGTGTGTGATAAAAGATACGAAACGGTACGACAAAAAAGTACGTAAATAAGTAACAGAAAGAAAGTTGTGTAAGCCAAGAGAAGCGAAGAAGTTAAATGTTAATGAGAAAGCAAAATAAATAAAAATACTTTTGTAAAGTAAAATTTGTAAAAGACCAAAGAAAAAGATACTCTCAATTACAACAACAACAAGTGGCTTGACTTAAAGCGCAGCAGTAACAGTTAAAGTTGAGCTTTAGTTTGGTTAAAGGTGCAAACGACAATCCGCGCTCAGGTAAAAGTGAATCTGTAAGCGAACGTAGCGGACGCATTGCTGGAATTGAAAACGAAACTGACAGTTTTTCAAACGGTTATGAAATCCATTAATAAATAAAAAATAAAAAAAAAATAAAAAATATATTTGAATATATTTTGTATGTTAACTAAACTTGAACGAAATAAAGTTATTGACAAAAAAAAATAATATAAAATAATAACGCGTTAACGAAAAAGTAACTTTAGTGTACTTAACTTCAACTTAAGATATAAAAAGAAAACTGACAAATATGAAGGTAAGTAAGAATTCTCTCAAGTTATGAGATATAACTGATGATACTGTTGTGCCGAATTCTCACACACCTATCGCATGTGTAACATCGCTTCGATTTCAGTGCCTCAATTTTGCTCTAAACTTTTGTGTAAAATGTAACTTTACGTGCTATAAACCGCAGTGAAAGCGCGACTTATGCAAAATGCAGTAAATGTGACAATGACCAAAATAAAAAAAAAAATAAAAAATTTTTATGAATACAGATACAGATATTTATCTATATACCATATCTTTTCATTAATGTATGAAATGAGTTGCAAATAAGCTTGAATGCCAATGATGCTATCTGCAAGCAAATGAAATGCAAACATTATCGTCAGAGAATCGCAATAACTGTATGATTAATTTTTATTATTTACTTAAAGTGAAAATAACTATTTAAATAAAATCAACTATAAGTCATCAAAAAATATTTCAGCTGTTTTATTTGCAGAAACTACTTTGACTTTAATATGAACTGCAACAAGTGTGTATGAATTTTTGCCCTTCGAGCATATGCTGTTTATATTTATTTTCAATGCCTTACTTCGTCAAACTGTTAAAACCATACTCAGACAATCTATTCAGCAACAAGTTCAAGTGCATTTTTATTTTTCCTCAGATACAAATATTTTTTTATTTTATTTTTATTTTTCATTTCAAGCTGCAAATGCTATGCCGAGTAACGAGACGTTGCAGTTACTCGACATAGTAAAGTCGACATAGTAGAGTTGCAGGCAAGACTTGGCTTTTGCTTGCAACTATGAAACTGAAAGTTTTGCATGACTTCGAAGCAAAACTCAACAACTTGCAATTGCATAATAAAACTTCAAGCCACAAAATCTTTTGCTATTCGTTAGTAAACACAAACATATAATGCTATATATACAAAATATATTATAATTTAATGAAGTCTGACGTTAACCAGTCCTAAGTGAAAAAGAACTTTTAAGCAGCAAACTTTTATCTCCAGATAGCAATTTTCTTAGAAGTTACTCGAACCGAACCGACTATATGTTTATACATTACGTACTAAATATTTGAAGTATTTCTGTTTGTATATAACTTTTTCCCCATTGAAATGAAAAAGCATATTGTGTCTTCCAATTTCTGCAGGCATTAACTACAAATAATTTAGACTTAAAAGTTTTGCTAAAGAAACCACACAAATTCAAGTTGTAATTAATTAATGAAGTTTTTTAATGATTGAAAAAGTTATGAAAGGTTTATTTGATGATTAAATTTTCTTTTTGTTTTTATAAAAAAAAAAATTTTGAAAATTTAATTACAAACCACTGAATACTTTTATTTTACTATTTCAATATACTTTTAAAGTTTTCATAAATTGTTTTAATAATTAATTTTAATGAGAAAACATTTGTATGACTTTTCTTTTCAGATACATTGAAGGAGTTATTAGTATGTGTAGTTTATCCATAAAAACTTTGCTTCAAATATTACTTAGCATATTCGAAACTTAGTGATTTTTAGTATAATAATGCCATAGCATTAAATAGTCATATATATGTAATAAATAATTAAATAGCCACAGAAAAGCACTATATAAATACATTCAAGTTCATATAAGCCTTTAAATCAACGGACACATTTTAATATGTTTTATATCTAATTTGTTTTTGTTTTTCTAAATGTCTTTTTTTTTTTAAATTACCCTCAGCTTACAGAATTAATGTTTTAATTGATCTAAGTTAAGTAGAGCAAGGATGCAAATCTTGGAAAATAATTTTTTTTTCTTAAATTTCAAATAATTACATTGACAAATCTGTAGAAAAGACTTTTGAAAAGAAAACGCTTGAAATATGAAATATTTTTAAAAAATTTAAAACTTAATATCAACACGACTTTAAAGGTATCATTATTATCATCACTCATATAAATATATAATGTGACATTTAAAATACTACAAAAAACAAATTCGATGACATATTTATTTTGTTTTGAATAACAAACTTTTAATCTTTCTTTATCATTCCTTGATAACACGCAAGTAAGAGTCTTAAGGACTTGTACTCAATAATCACTTGGGTGATCCACCTTAACAAATGTTCCATTGAATTATGATAATGAGTTATTCAAGAGAATTTGTGGAAGTATAGTTTAAAGCCCGTCTTCCTACAGAAATATATCTTACATTTGTATTAATTTAAATGTTTTCTCTTCAATCGCATTCTATTCCAATTTTATCTTTGAACAATTAACACTGACATTTTTCATAGTGCTCTTTTCAGATCAGTATTATAACGATCTCAAGATATCAAGGTATCAAGACTTTAGATACCTCAAAACGTACCCACCAAGAGTTATCAAATTTTTCCAGATGCCTGTAGTCTCTCATTATCACTGTCTGTAGAAAACAACAACTTTCCAGTTTAATCAGTTTGAGCTACTTTTTATCATTTTTCAGCCACAAATGCTTCAAATGCTGACAGTTAAGCATCCAATCATTTACTCAGTCAAGTAGTAATGTCTCATAATGAACGATAACCTGATAATCGTAAACCGAACACACAGCATCATTTTTCTTGTTTTCAATTGCTATTTAACTATTCGTATCATTTGTTCTAATATTTTTAATAATAAACTAAGGAACTTAAACAACTAATAAGGATCTTCCGAATCCATTTAGTGAGCTGAATGGAATATTATAACCCCAAGATTATTCTAACTACCATTTAGGGAATTTTATATCGAGCGAGGAGCATCTTTCACATTAAAATTTCTATAATAAAAATTAGTATAACATATCGTAAGAGTTCATTGTGATAAAGATCCCTGACTATAAGCGAAGCCCATAGGCACTTTTAACAAGCCCAAGGTGGTCTTCCTATTTATCTGATTAGAATTGTAAGATATACCAAATTTGTTAATAGTTAAATAAATTTTAAACTTTAAACTTCATACCTTTTTGAACACAGCACTAAAATTATATGGTAAATAATATCTGTAAGATGAATGATTTTACAGATATTTTGACTAGTTCAATGTTTGAACTTAATTTTTAATTCCTTTCCCATTTCTCCGAACCATCTTTTATTGGCACTCTGCTCGCTATGACTACATTATGACTACATATAAATCTCCTTGTAGTTCATAACACTATTTTTATTTTCATTTAAATATTATCTGTTTAAAGGTTATTTTTCAAATACTCTTAAAGTGATCCTGTTACCATTATGCCATTAGCTAGTTTTATTACTATGAATTATATTTTGAAATAAAAACATTGCCATTCATTAGACATTTCCTTTGGTTATAATGAAATACAGAGAGTTAATAATGAACATATATTACTTAGTTTAGAGGTTAAATATTAGTGAAAGCTCAGTTTTAATTTAGTGTTTGATACAAAGTACTTTTAAATTTAGGTTCAGTCAGTATATAACAAAATATTATTCCATTGATAACTTTTAAACTTAATACTAAATTTATTTATATTCTATTTAGATTTATATTTTATTATATTTCTATTATATATTCTATATTATATTTTATTCAATATGTATAAAATCATACACTCCTACTTTTGTATTTGTATGGGTAGAAGTTTTAAGCATGAAGAGATTCTTTCTTTTTCATTATTAAGATTTGGAACCATTTCAAATGATCAGCTAAACGAAATAGTCTATTCCTAATATTTTTTAATGACCAATAGTTATTAATATTTTCGATCTAATATTACTTCAATATAAAAAAGACTTCCTTTATACACATCTAGTAAATCTTTTGGAAACCCTACGTATATTGTATATTGTTCCCAACAAATTTAATAATCAGCCTCTAATATCATTAGTTAAAAGCCCTCTTACTATAACAGAAAATAGAAATTTTATACTAATTTTTATGTATATTTTTTAGGCAATATACATGTATACTATACATGTGTTACTAAAACTATTATTACTCAAAAAAAAATATATATAGCTTAACACTTGCCTGAAAAACACATATGGTATACCTAATAATATCATAAATCATTCATGTTGCTCAATATGCCCACCTTCAAAAGTAATAAATATTTATCACTCTGCTGATATATATGACTAAGACGTGATGTTCTGCTAATCAATAAAATTTGCAATAATAAAATGTTGAAATTATATGAAGCAATTTATTTGTCACAAAATGATTTGATTTATATTTTTAACCTCTTCAAGTTTTTATGAATAAAATTCAGGTGCAATTCACAGTTAACAAAACATCGCCTTCGTTACTTTAAAACCCACTACTAACTTTTAGTAATAATATGAAATATTTTTTACTTTATCTATAAGCAAATACTTCTCAACAAGCAAAACACAACACCTGTCAACAGTTTAACACCATATCCGGGAATAATATACATTAAAAATTAATATTGGAAAACCCAAATTCAGTAGATAAAGCCTTTTAAGAGCCTTTTATACACAAAGGAATCGAAAATTGTGATATAGAATAGCACTTAACTGGTATGATTGAAATATAGGTAATTTAATATTTGAAAGAACTACACATACGAGGATAGTAAGGTTTTATAGCTAAGAAATTGATTTTTCAGTTAAGCGAAATTAGAAAATTTAGTTAGACTAACAGGACTATAAAGTTATGTATTAATAGTAAATTTGTAGCTAGTTTTAATCATAAGGTTAATGTTATTAAAAATGTGCAGTTGGCAGAAATTAGCTGATAAAATATAGAACAGCAGTTTTAGTAGTGGTCATAGCATTGGAAGTCGTGTAATAGATAGTAGCGGAATAGATAGTAGCAGAAGATCTTGCAACCTATTTGTTAATAACTAAATATTGAATTACTAGAAGAAATTATATTAATTAATATAAAATATGAAAACTCTTAACCATCTTTATTAAAACAATATATCACCAACTCTGAAACTCAGTACTTAAATCTTTCTACGAAGTATTTATTAACATCGAATCAGTGGTGTTATCAGGATTGTGCTAGGAGGGAAAAATATTTTTTGACAGT